TGTACAAGAAAATAGACTTTAAACTACCGAAACAGGTGTGTATCCCTTTAGTCATGTAGGAAAAAAAACAAGTTACGGTCAGATCCCCATACACTTCAAAAAACACCAAAAAGGCAGTAATTAAATAGTTTTTGTGCATGACTAAAGGGGTACACACCCTTAGAGGTAGTTTAAAGTTTACTTTTCGCACAAAACTAAAGGGATAAACGGGTATTGACTATGGGTATGCTGGTCTGACTGGGTATGCTCATCTGACAGAACACTGGTCCTTAGTCATAGACACTGTTTGGAAGAAAGTGGTACCTAGGATATCCTCTGCAGGAGCTGCTGGAGATCTTCTGCTTTACCGTTGTCAAAAACAGTCAATGTTGGGATCTGGAGTTCTGCCACCTGTCTCCAGCAGAGAGAGCTATGGGTCTCCTGGGCTGGAGCCTCCAACACACCTGAGGATCATCAGCCCATTAGGAGACCTCCTACATAAGCAGCAGCCAGACCTGTCTTCGGCGCCGGAGTGTTGACCAGTTTTGGTTACCAGAACCTGAGCCTCTGTTCACTTTGAGAATCTCTGTCTGCTCTAAGAGAGTAACTAGATTCTAACCAGCCTCTGTCTTCTCTGCTCACAGGAAAGCCCGACTGAACTCTGTAGCTCTGGAGGAGCTTTTGCTTGGAAACCTGCCTGCCTGCCCTAGGAAGCCAAACATGAGGACAATCAGTCTGGAATCCCCAGCCAGCTCTCAAGGGAGAGCAAGGACACCTACTCAAGGTCTGAATCTCACTAGTCTGAAGCTAGACGCTGCTGCTGCTGCTGCTGAGCTCTCTGCTGAACCCACTGTCTCTGGACCCAACCGGTTCCCTCTCTCCATCAATCTGTCGGAACCTCATCAAGGTACAACCAGAATCAAACACCTGAAAAGTCATCACCGCTGCCTGGCTAACCAAACCATCCATCTCTGCAGATTCTCAGTGATTCCTGTCCCGGACCAGTACCAGAACCAGCTCATTATAATTCTGTGTGCTTCTCATTTAATAAACTGTTAAACTTTTACTCCGTTTCCTGTGGTGTTCTGCATGTGGGTTTAAACTCTAGAGACCCATCATGACAGCCAACATCTCTGCAGAACCCAAACACCTTTGAGACAAACTCCTAAGACTTTTACCTTCAGGTTGAAATGACTGAGAAAGAGTCAGAAAAAACACGTAGAGAGTCTTCTTCCAGGCTGGTGTTCTGTCAGATGAGCATACCCCGTCAGACCAGCAAACCCATTGTCAATACCTGTTTATCCCTTTAGTTTATCCCTTTAGTTTTGTACAAAAAATACACTTTAAACTAACTCAATGGGTGTGGATACCTTTAGTCATGTACAAAAAAAAAACAATTTATGAATTACTTTTCTGTGTTTTTTGAAGCGTATGGCGATCTGACCTTAAATCGTTTTTTTGTACATGACTAAAGGAATACATGCATGTTGAGGTAGTTTATAGTCAATTTTTCGTGGAAAAAAATAAAGGGATAAACGCAGATCTGACGTCTTGCACATGGGTATTGAGTATGGGTATGCTGGGTATGCTGACAGAACAACGGATGACTGATGGCAAGCTAATCAACACCAGTTCAAGCATGGCTTCCTCTTAAGAGGTAATCACCCCAAAATACATTTAACAATGGTTCTATTTTACTTATTTAAAGCTGATGGAATTAATTTCAATTTAGTTTATTTCTATTGTTCCAATTCTAATCACATCTCCCATCAGGTCATGGAAGGAAAACCAGCTGATTGCTTTAACTCCAGAAAGGTTTGGACAAACAAAACAGCAACTAATTAGTTAATTATTTCAGTTGAATATCTTACTTAGGGAGTGTCAGCTTAGTGGTTAGGGCATAGGGCTTTGTATCCTGAGATTGTGAGTTCAATCACCCACTCCCACAGACTGACACTCTGGGTCCCTGAGCAAGACCCATAACCTCACACTGCTCCCCAAGGGGATGGGTTAAATGCAGAGAAGAAATTTCCCTCTGGGATTATTAGAGTGTATAAAATCAAAATTAGACTTTTTCCATACAGCAGTTGAAGAAAACAACATGAACTACATAATCATAGCTGAAAACACATGTTCAGTAGAGCCTGTTTTGGTCAAATTAAAGGTAAATATTTTTGGGAAGTGATTTTAAATCGCTGATTTAAAAACAAACCAACATGTTCTCTGTTTTTCTGAAACTGAAGGTAAAACCCAGAGTTTGCTGGCTGTTTTATGTTACTTGTTACGATGTTGAGCCCCAGGCTACGTTTTGAATCTTTTACCTGAACTTATCTGCCTCCTTAGATTCAAACACATCCTCAGCTGGAAGAGCAAAGCAAACAACTTCGGTATACAAGACACACTGAGGTGAATTTTTTTAAATTCAGCATGTGTGTATCCTTACGGCAGGGTGAAAAACACCAGCTTCACATGACCTTTGTATCTCAGTCTTCACGGAAATTTCCATTAGAGAGCGGCCTAACATGAAGCATCTCCTCTTCCTGTGAAAGGTTTCATCTTCAATAAATTCATTACCCAAGGGCAGCCGGTTCTCCGATGGAGCGGACACTAATGCAGCAGCTTTGATAATCCTCTATGTACATTTATTTAAAAACCTTTAAAACGTGTTCTGACCTTTTCTGCGCCAAACAGCAGAGAAAAGGTTCCAGAGCAGAAGGTTAAATATGTTCAAAATTTCATGCAGCATCTATTTTTTCTTTTATATACTCCTACACATGAGGCATATGTTGAGGTTACAAGGGCAGAGTGGAATATCATTTTAAAATAAGGCCTCCCAATGAGAGCCGCTGAACCCCACTGATGCCTGAAGAAGATCTAATATGTTTGCTCATCCTGTGAAAAAGTATTTCCCTCCATTCAGGTTTTCTCTTATTTTTGATTTAAATTTGTTTCATGAAAAAAACTTCACAAATAAGTAAAACTAACTAAACTTGAAATGCTAAAAAGAAATACATTTCTAAAAATATTTTTAAGCTATCTAAATGGATCTGCCTTTCTGTAACAGAACTTCCATCAGAACCACAATGATCCCATGTAGCATTCAGCTTCAGCCAATCCAGCTAGAAAGCAGCCATCAGGCTCTAAATCTAAGAATAGTGATGAACTCAGACCTGAACCTATAGAGGCTCATAAAGACCTGAACAAAGTGGACCTTCTATCACCTGAGGAACATCTTCAGGATTACAGGACTAATGTTGAAGAACTACTTCCTGCTTCATTCATCTTTTGTAGAAGTGCCTAGAAAGTGGATCACGCAGCTGCAGCTGATCCATAATGCTGCTACCCGCGTCCTCACTAGAACTAAGAAAGTGGAGAACATTAGCCAGTTCTGAAGCTCTTCCTCTGGCCCCCCGTATCACAGAGAATAGACTTTAAAGTCCTTCTATCAGATAGAAACTGCTGAATGACTGAGCTCCAAAATACATTAAAGATCAACAGCCAGACATCTCAAGTCTACTTTCAGCAGCTTTTAGTTGTTATTCTCCTCTAATCTGGAATAAACTCCCAGAAAACTGGAAAAAAGCAGAAACCCTAATGAATCCAGATTAAATCCCATATTTTTGCCTTTAACTCGGCAACTTGTTCATGTTTGTATCATTTAATCACTTTAATTGCAATATGCTGGTGAAGATTCTCAGTCATCCAGGTCATAATCATTCGAAAAACTGAAAAAAATAATCCACTGGACTTTGTTTCAAAGTTTGAAGACGTTTTGCTTCCCATCCAGGAAGCTTTTTCAATTCGAAATTTCAATTCAATTTTGAATTGAAAATTTAATTGAATTTCAAATCAAACCCAATTCAATTTTGAATTGAAAAAGCTTTGCGATCTGTGTGAGAACACATTTTTAATTTACAAAATGTTCTGTTTAGTTTCATGAAGAAACTCTATTTTCCTAAAAAAACTAATAAGATAAAATACAGAACACAAAAAGATAAAGTTCAACACATCATGTCTTAGCTGGACCTAAATAGCATTTAACAGGATGCCAGTGCTCATTAAACCCCCCAATTAGCAACATAAAGACTCCTGGTCAGCTAACATAAACACCTAGAGGCAGCGCTGATGCCAAGGTTGCACAACTAATCACTGCAAAGTGGGAGTCATTCCTCAATCCAGATGTCTAGTTTGGCCTTAATATACTTTAAAAAAAAATCTACTCATCATTTGAAAAACAAATGTTATATTTATTGAGGTTAGGATGATATTACAACTTGATGATGATCTGGAATGAGAAAAAAAACTATATTGGTATATTTTACTGCATACAGTATACAAATAAGCACCTGGAGTATTTATATTTAGAATTGTTTTTCTCCTATAAATGAGGAAAATTTTCACACCACAAACATCCAGCTGTGAAAATCATAAAAACATCACATGCAGGGCAGCTGACAGCTATGCTAGGGCCTGGGACAACACAGTCTTTTTGTTCCCCCTCTGTATCCTCCTCAAACACATGCCGGCCCGCGAAGCTTTCTGTAAAAGTAAATGTGTTTTTCTCCTTACACAAGCTAGCGGATGCTATACTTTAAAATCAATTGATAAACGCGTAGTTTCTTACCTGGCTCTGAATTCAATTCAATTCTGGACCTGTTCCTGACTCATCCTCAGTTTATTTTTATATTTACTGATAAAATCCCTCAACTCTTCAGTGTCATCTTCCCTTTTTGTCTTTGTTTCTGTGCGACTGACTTCTGAAGATCTGACATTCTTAGTTTGCAGTGAAACGAACTTTAAAGTTTGTTTTTATATGTATATATATATGTATCCTATCTATCTTTCTATCTATCTATGTAATTAATCTAAGATTTAATATTTTTCTCACAAAAATAATGTGAAAGATTACATCTGCCTGTATTTCTAATGGTCAGAGAGTCAATTGTTTTTCCCCCTCTGTCCTGGGCCTGGGACAATTGACCCGTTTGTGCCCCCATGCTGTGATCAAATGCATCACTTACCCAGTAACGCCATGAAGCAGATGCAGATGGCAAAGAGTGAGCTGAAGCTCAGGCCCACGTCGTCTCTGTAAATTGCTAATGTTGTCTCACAGTGGCGCCCTCTGAAGCCCTCTGGACAGTGACAGGTGAACTTTGAGGGGGACTGGGCTACGCAGGTTCCTCTGTGACAGGGACGAGCAGCACACAGTGTGTACACACAGGACTTTTTGGTGCCGTTCACACGAACCATGTGACCAGGTGGACACCTGCAGACAGTTTTTAAAGGGAAAAAACGGTGTCATGACATTTGCTTTTGTATTCATTAAAGTCGGAATGAAGACATAGGGACCCCTTTTTCATCATGCTGCTTTATTTTATATATATAGTATATTTTTTCTCATATTAGCTTCATCTGCTCTGTTCTAGTTTGGCTGTGACTCCAATCCTGGAGAGAAATATCAGCTGTGCTGCTGCCATCAACACCTTTGTTTATAGAGATGTTGGAGATCGGCCTGTTTTTCAGTGTAGTCCTGTTTCTCTGACTGGGGCTGGCTGGATGTGCTGTCTTCATCCTCTGACATGGGAGCTGGTTTGGTGTTCGTCTACCTGGCTGTGTGTTTCCTGGAGGGGGCTGCGTGTGGAGCTGATTTATAGTAACATTTTATATCTCAGCTTCCTTTTGTTTCTCTGCTTCTGTGTCCTTGAACCCCAGTCGGCCTCAGCAGATGGCCGCTCACACTGAACCTGGTTCTGCTGGAGGTTTCTTCATGTTAAAATGAAGTTTTTCCTCTCCACTGTTACTACAAGCATGCTTAGTGTGAGGGATTGCCTTCAAGTCAATGCAATCAATCAGATAGAAAACCAGGATTTATCTCGAAAGTTCCAGACACTGGCTGCTCTAATGGCTTTTCGGCAGTGCTTGCTGTTCAAACCCACCTACCTGACCACATTAGGGAGATCTCCTGAATGGCAGGCCAAGGATCAGAACTTCTTGACTGCTCAAAAGCTTGTGGCTATTTCAGTACCACACTGCTGCAAAGCACACTGTCTCTGACATTCTGTCATTCTGAGACTACAAGAGTAACTCAGAACCTAACCTAACTGCCACCTGAACACAGGCCCATCCAATGTAGCCTGGAACAAACTTTCTTAAACTTTATAGTTTAAATAGCTCAGCATCCCAAAACGGATATCATAGAGGACAGAGGTTTGGAAAAGTAAGGGTAGGAGTTTTTGGCTGCAATAAAAAGGTTTTTTTTATGTTTTCTGCTCATTCTACATGCTCATCGTTGTGTAAAAACAAGGGAGCAAGAATCTAATGGAGATCACTAGGTGGCCAACCCCATGCTGACATGATTTGAATAAGGGTTTTAACGCCAATATGGCACTGTATACTGATATTTTAATGATATTTTATTGTTAAAAGATGACGAAGAAGTCCTTTAAAATCAGTTCCCTTGTGTCTGGTAGATTCTAGCTCTATGTTCTTCAAAAACCAAACCTGGCTAACAAAGCAAAGTGGTTTTTATCCTATCAGTGGGCTATTTGTGCAGCTCCACTACTTTCTGAACTTCAGCAGCACCTTTGTTTCCTTTCTTTCATTACTGAACAGACTGATTAATCCAGGGGCGTCTGACCTCAGTAACCATGACGACAGTGGCCAAGTTTAGGAAGTAGTGGAGCTGGGCATACAGGCCATTATCTAAATAGTTACTGGTTTCTGATTAAGCACATTGTTTGGCTAAGTATTATTTGGACAATCATGTTTTATTTACCTCTCAGATCTCAGATTGGTTTGAAAAACATTCCAGTTTATCTCAATTAGTTTAAGAGCTAATTTGACATCAGTCCAAATTCAATAAAGTCCAAACATACAATACAGGCTGAGCTGTTATATCATTGCATCATTTCATTTTTAACTGGATCTGTTTTCAACTGAAACAAGTTCGACTGATGAATTTTTGTTAATAAACTCATATTCTGAATGAAAGATGTAGTGAATTTATTCCATATATGTGCAGAATTATCTCTTTGCCCACAATTTGAGCTTAATTCACATTTTCATTTGTCGTAGTGTGAAATGTGTTCAATTGACAACAGTCTGAATATTATTTGATTTAAACAACTATCAGCCTAAACGGAGGAGAACAGTTGAAGAGAAGTCTAAAGCTAACAGTGACCAAAGAAGTAACAAGCTGGTGTAAATCTTGTCACATTGTAGCCCAGGTAGAAGCTCTGTGGACTGCCTTGGTCTAGATTTGGACTCACAGGAAAAGTCCGGTGAGCAAGGAATACAATTTGGTTGAACTGTAAAGTGCCTTGAGATGACATATGTTGTGAATTTGGCGCTATATAAATAAACTGAATTGAATTGAATAATCCGTGGATCATTATCTATACCTAAAACTAATATGTTTGCGGTTATTTAATACATTTTGAATTATTCAGTAAAAAAATAAAAACAATAATTTTTATCATGATCACTGAGTCTAGGAGGGGCAATTTTTGCCCAAATATAGTAACACCCCACTCCTGACATCTTCCGCCAGTGATTCAATTCAATTTAGTTTATTTCTATAGCGCCAATTCACAAGACATGTCATCTCAAGGCACTTTACAGTT